TTTTCCACAGAACACAACGGAAAAGGTGGGCTCCTCACCCCCCGCGCTCCCCCGGGCAGGGCCGGCGTGGTTGGGGAATTCTGGGAGTTGAAGTCCACACATCTTCAAGTTGTCAAGGTTGAGAAACACTGGCCTGATATTAGGGCACCAGTGAAGTGTTCTGACTAGCAATGGATTTGTGATACTGGGTCCTCACTGAGACATGCAAACGAGAATCATGTCTTTCAACATATTTTAATTAATTAATATTTATCTATTTTAATCAATATTTATTCTATTTTTACTGTAAACTGCCCAGAGTCACCCCACAGTGAGATGGGCGGTGACCAATTTGAATGATAAATACATAAATTAATAAAGTGTGCAATGTCGTCTATAGCTGGTGCACCACATTTGCGCTTCCTTTCCTGATCTGGTATTTTCTGGAATTGACTGTAGTTTACTACAGCGTCCCGGAGTTTGAATCTTGCCCTAGTTAAGGGCCATTCTCTGGCCCTGCGTCAGGCCACAGTTGAGTATTTTTCTGCTTTAAATGACCGTTTTATGTTTGATTGATTTTATTGCAATTTCTTGGTCAGATCTGAGCTGCCCAGAGTTGTCAAGAGTTGGGCAGGATACAAGTTTAATAAATTGTTACTGTTGTTATTTTGTCCTTGGCCAACCATTTCAGGATTGTATGGTTGGCGAGGAACTCTGTTGGTTTGAGAACCAGCATCCAGGACTCTTCCCTTGGACTGTTGGCCAACCCAAAATAGTCAAGGGGATAGACCGTGCAGCACCATAGTTGTTGGTCTACCAAATGTAGGGCAGAGTTGTTAGTTACTAAAACTTGTGACACATGTTCAGGAGGACATGTGCCTGCAAGAAAAGCCAGATTTGCTCTCTTGGTTGCCCGCTCTGACTGCGCCTGCAGAATTTGGACTGGGGACTCCACGAAAGCAATAAGACAATCTTAAAATATGTCATTGAAAGCTAAACGAAAACCCTGAAAAGAATCAGGAAATTGAGGTTCATGCGCCTTTGTTCTTCTTCCCCCAAATATTAACTCTACATACTAACCACTGGAATATTTATAATGTATCCCACCAGTAAGAGGTGATTCCCAGTGTTGACCTAAAATCTTATTCTAGCTGTCATTTTATGTATTCCTCTTTATTGGAGCCTGTTTCTAAATGAGCGCATGGATATTTACTAATCTCATGTGACTGTATTTTTGGCAAGCTTTACAGTGGAAGAGTGAGAGATTTTTAGCAAGCCAAGACACGCTTTGGCCTCTGTTGTCCTATTTGAATGGAGAAATAACCCTACCTTGTAAACTTAGCTGGGGGCTATGTTATATGTCTTGGGTGTGGAGCAATGAACAAGACTGAATTCTTCCTTGATTTCAGCGTGAGCAAAGACAGGCTGCATTCTTCAAGCAGAAATAAATTCCTGCCGTTTCAGACAGACTTTCTAGAGTTCAGCTTTGTTTCTTTTGAGGCTGTGAGCAGACACTTTCTGTGCCTTTTGTGGCCTTTTGTGGCTGTTTTTTGCTGGTTCCTTCCAACCCTTTTAAAAAAAAATAGTTTTTATTGTTGTTGTAAAACTTACATCATACATTATATTGTTGATATGCAGTGGTGTTGATACAGTGTGGATTAAAGATTATTAACACTCTCTTGTTTAAATAGCTTGGACCTTGAGGTTACAGAAAGAAAGAAAAATTAGATCCATCTTAATTATGATTTAAAATGCCAATAAGTGTAAGTTTATTTGACTTTTTCATCCAGAGTTGAATATAACATTAAAAAACTGCTACAGGTTGCATCAAAGTGATTGTTGTACAATAAAGGTTTCTGTTATAAGCTGATTATTTATTATTAAGATCTCCGCTCAAATTTGACTTTAAATTTATACTTATTGGTCAGGTTTATGCTTTCAAGAAGTCAACCATATTGGGGCTGTCAGATGTAATAATTGAAGGGATAAATCAAAGGTAGTAAATATGGTATGTCAAATGCTCCTGCTTTTTGGAGGAGCATTCTTCACCCCAAAAGTAAGTTAGTCTGCCTGCCTTGAAAGATCTGGGTCCCCCCCCACAAGTATTGAGTGTGGGAGTGGGTGACCCTCTGGGTGAGGTTCCCCCCCCCTCCCTTCCAGTACTTATGTGAATCTCTGTTGTTATTTTGCATTGTGGGTTTCTGAAAAAAAAACCCAAACCGGTAGATAGATCCAACATTTATTCAACTTAAGTTGAATAAATTGAATAAATAAGTTGAATAAATAAGGTTGAATAAATTGAGCTTATAGAAGCGAATATATGTAGCTCAGGGTTGAACTGTGGAGTCCTTGGGGTTCTCTGAGCTTGGTGGTTTTCTTGCAAACGTTTCGTTACCCGGCTAGGTAATGTCTTCAGTGCACTGAGCTTAACAGGTGGGTGTAGGACACAGCTGGCCAGGGTTGATCCAGATTAATGCTTGCAGAACTTGCCCCATTGTATGTATCCAGGCGTTCTGTCTCCTGTAGGAGAAAGCAGTGGACTGAATTGTCTGCCCTTCGGTGCAGTCTATCACACCGAATATCACACTTGGGAGGGGGGGAATGCAGTGGTCTTAGCACTGACGTCTTATTATCTGGAGAGGCCAGATTCTTGTGGCTTGCGTTAAAAGGAAGCCAAGCCCTATCCAAGCCAAAAGAGGCAAACTGTATCCTGTAGGAAATTTTGAAAGGAAAAGGGAAACCATTGTTAGCGTTCCAGTTCTGGGGTGGAATACGATTGTTTGAGAAGGGGAGAATAACAGGAAATATCAAGAATTAGCTCAGCGCTGAAAATAACCCCCTTACAGTATGGAGGAAAGGGATAAACCGTTTCCAGATGGGACAAGTATGAATGCTAGTATTGAATGGATTGTCTTCAGCTGTCTAGAAGAAGTTGCTGGGAATTGTAATTGACAAGAGCTGTAGGGTTGATGTGGAGTTTTACCATCAGAGCCAAAAGCGGTTTGGGGGTCTGCCATAAATATGATTCACAACCTTCATGTGATTCCCTTGTGAGCATTATTGGTGTTCTAAGAACCTTTAGAAGTACATCCCTAATCCAGATTTCATATTATAACTACAGGTAGTCCCCGGGTTAAGAACGGATGGTTTAAGGACGACCCATTGTTAAGAACGGAGCCTATTGTAGCAAAATTTGAGTTAAATACACAATGGTTTGAGTTAGGCACACAATAGTTCATTACACAATACTACTTATACAGTATTATACAATAATACTGTTCCGGCTTACATATAAATTCGATTTAAGGACAGACCTTGGGACACGGAGCTCTGTGTAATTGAAAATAAATTGTCACTAAAGCACACGTAATGGACGCAATCAGATCTGTTCTTGTAAAATGGTCTGTACATGGGCATAAGGAAGATGTATTATATTCTACCATGCTAGCAGTTTTCTGATCCTGTATTCCACCGACCGCAAACTTCAGTTGAGGGAGAAGCTCAGCGTTCACCCAGTGGGGTGTCTGACTGTTCTCCTTCCAAACTGTATCTTGCAAGCCATAGCACTTTGTGGTTTGTCAGCAAACAAGGATGGGGGAACTATCTTATAGAAGGGGAGAGGAGGACACGTAGGCTCCAAGATCGTTCACATAATGGCCGAAACATGGTTTGATATTATGCCTGAGAGAGACATCACCTCGGACCTTTTTGCAACCAAGCGTTGCTGTACGTGAGGGACTGCAACTCCGCTGTGGCCATTGCGGGTTACCAAGTTAGCGAAAGATAATTCAAGCTGATAAACATCTTTGGTATTTCCCTGCTTGTATGCAAGGAGCTCAAAAATCCACAGAAATGTTGTTTTGCCTGTTCTCTCTCCATAGCCCTTTCACTCACCTCATTTTTTTCAATTAGGAACGCACCGCCTCTTCTTGCGGCCTCCTTAATTCACGCAGCGGTCAGTGAGATGCTCCAAACTGACCTCGGTGATTTTAAAAAACAGAACCTAGAAGAAGAGGAAGCCGGTGACAGTGGGACATGCCCCCGTAAGTATTTTCCCTCCCGTGGTTCTAAATATAGTTCACGATCTCGAACAAAAGCTCCTTATTTCGGGTGCAGTGTTGTTCACCTCTTTCTCCCTAAGTAATTTAAAATAATTTAATTTAAAATGTGTATGTTATTCTTTATAATAAAAAAATGAAGCAGTGGATAAGGCTTAGAAACACCATATGCAGGTACAATTATAATACAAAAACTTTATCCTAAATAATTAGCAAGTAAAAGATAGAACAAGACAAAGATGAAACAAACAGCTTCAGTGAATAATTAGCTTTAATCTAGAAACTTAAAATAATAATAATAATGCCACCATTGTGGCATTGCAGCTTGAAGATGCCGTATTCTGGTTAACAGCTGTCTTACTTCAGATGGAAAAAGGCATTTGGGAAAGGCCCATACCAGATTATCTTGGACTGATAGTAAGTTGATACAAATCCAGGTCTCAAATCATTGGAAGTATTAAAAGAGAAGCATCTACATTTTAACAAGCCAGTGAAACTCTTTCAAAACTCTGAGAAGTGGGCCGGATCATGCTAAACTATGGTTTGTATTGTCGTGCTTTATTGTATTAATCAGCCAGATCAGCACAACTTGTTAAGGCTTAAGCCATGGTTTACAGATCATTGAGGCCAGGTTCACACAACCAAGTTAGACCTGAACAAGAGTGGGCTTAAGAGTGATGCATGAACCTAACTGTGGTTTGAAATGGTCGGTCTAAATCAAACATTGTATTCTTCTCTAACTTGAATTTGAATGGGCAAATGGAGTCCCACCTATATTGTAGAAATTGCAATGGGGGGTATACCAAAGCATGAAGATAGGCCGATGTCTTGACATTGAAGGATTTAACTAACAGAAATAATGGCTTTTATGGTTTTCAGTGGCATGACAAGTTCATTGCCGATGGCTCAGCATAACTGCAAAACAAGTTGTTACAACAAAATGAATGGAAACTAGTGAGGTCATACTTAGCAGTCCATAATCTTATCACAACAACCCAAAGAGTTGCGGCCAACGTATGTTGAGGAATGGGAACTGCTTTCCAGCTTAGTTTTCCATTATGGCACGATGTTGCTCATATATACTGTTGTTACTATGCTTATGGAGAAATGGAGCTGCCCTGCCCTTGAAATGAATGGGAAAGCTTTTGTGTATTTTTGATACACCTTGTTTGGAGAAGACAGATTCCCAGCCTGAGTTTTCTGTCTGCAGAGTGGTTGATAACATAGGATTGGATCCAAAGAAACATTGAGGGGAAGTGAAAAATGCAACTAGCTTTGTTCTGCAAACGCGTAAGAGTTTGCACATTGCGGTGATAATGCACATTCTGAAGACCACAATATCGTTGCATAATCAGAACATCTGTTTTGGGTTTAATTCATGTTTCTTGCATGTTGCTTTCCTGTGAAGTACAAAACAATGGGAAGCTATTTTATCCCAACTCCAACTTTTACTCCATATTGCTTAGTTTTGTCTACGTTGGCAAGTAATGATTACGTTGGCTTTCAGGCAGGGTTTTTTTCTGGAGATGCTGAGGTCCAAACGTGGCACGCTGATGTGCTGTCTTGCAGAGCTACAGCCTGTTTTGCATAGAAAGTCCATATTTAGATCTAGACTAGCAGGTTGAGTATGGCACAGTCATTGTATTCATCATACAACACATTGAAATGCTAGATGAATGTGCATTAGATGTTGATTTCTTGCAGTATTCTCTGGATTTTACACGTTAGTTGTAATATCAGCTTGTTTAGCGGTTGACAGGGTTCCTTTCTGCAAGGACGGATGTAGCTTTAAGTTAGACCTGCTTGAGTGAGAAACCACAAACGCCCTTCCTCCTTCTCTTTGCTAAGACTTGGAGACAAATGACAACAAAGTGGGGGAAGATGGTCTCTCCAGCACATGTCTCCTTTATACCTAAATTATCTTGTTGCCACTGTTCTTTGATGGTTTTTCACAACTAATAACTGAGCTTGTTCGTCTCCTGTTCAAGGCTTCCTTTCTAGCTGTTCTTGGTGTCAACTTGTAAAGCTCTCATTTATTATGAGAACTTCACTTTCCTCTTGGGCCTTTCTTCCAAAGTTTCTCTACAGCAGTGTTTCTCAACCTTGGCAACATGAAGATGTGTGGGCTTTAACTCCCAGAATTCCCCAGCGAGCATGGCTGGCTGGGGAATTCTGGGAGTTGAAGTCCACACATTTTCATGTTGCCAAGGTTGAGCAACACTGCTCTACAGGGTTCTGTAATCTGCCGTGCTTTGACATGTGTATATGGTTTTTTATTGTATTTTAATTAATGTGTATTCTTGTTTTAGTGTAAACCGCCCAGAGCCGCTCTTGCATGAGATGGGCGGTGACTAAATTTGAGAGAGAGAGAGAGAGCGAGCGCGAGCGCGCGCTTGATTACAATGCCAATTTTTTTATCTTGTCTTCTTTTTGATGCCCACACATGGAAGTCACCGTTTATGGAATTAGTTTGGGTCAGTCCCCATCTACCTTACTGGATTACTGTAGGGTTAGAATGTGATTTTGGAAGTTGTCTACTTTGGTGTAAATTTCTAAAAGGATACCCATCACACAGCCATAGAAGACCTTGCCATAGAAGACCTTGTCTTCTGCTTAAGCAACCTGCTGGTATATTCTCCCTCTGCATCAAAACGAAGTTAAGAAGTTGGGTCCATCTGCTGGGGAGAATGAAAAGTACATGTCTTTTCATGACATTTAAGAGCAGCATAATAAATTTATCTTTTAGCAAGTCTCTAAAGTTTTAATGTTAGTATTACCACCCAACACTAATGTTATTTAACCATTTAGCAAATGGTTAAATAAAAGTTCAAGTTGGGGGAGAAATCTCATGGAGGAAGATCCCAAATGAGGCAATGGAAGTTCCAAAATACACATTTCAATAAGTTCTTTTTCTTCAATGGCAGTTCTGGATGGTGGTCCTTTGCAACGCTATTTCTTTAACAAACTCTTGGAGATTTGCCGCAAATGGCAGAAAGAGTTACCCGCCTTGAAGCCATCTAAGCGCTACCTTCAGATTTCTGTCCATGCAACCCGTAATACTCGACGGAAGATGGAAGATAGACATGTTTCCCTACCAGAATTTAACCAACTTTTCGGCCTGGAGGTAAGTTTCTAGAAGCTGGGGAGGAAACACTGATAGAAATCACCCTTCGTTATCATGCTAATGCCATTCCAACCTACTGTATGTTTTGGATCTGCAAGTTCTGTCTTTCCTTATCTTTGTCCCCGTTAACGATCACTGGTGGGATTTGGTGCTTGAAAACGTCTCAGGGAGGGGCACGCATTTTCTTTCCCTCCAAAGAGTTCTCCTAATTTTTAATTTTTTGTTTTACATGTTTGGATCCCAGTGCAATCCAAAGACTCGTGGTGGCTTACACTGAATATAAAAACCGTGGTACAGACTTCTGTAAAAATAAGAAAAACCACACCAACCATGGCAATTAGATTCAGGGTTCCTAAAAAAACCTTGATTTTCTAAGATGGTGGTGGGACAGAAAAATCAAAGTAGGTTGGGAATTGATTAATGATGGGAAGAAAGGGAAGGAAATAAATGTAATGATGGAACGATTGGGCTGCCAACTTCTCACCTTGCCCCCAAATGAATTATGACCATGGAGATTCAAGCAATGTATTTGCCCAAGGTCATTTCCTTTAACCTTGGTTCAACAAATCTCTTTTGTGTTCTTCTTCTCTCTCTACTCATCCTTGCCACCAAAAGGATGGTGTAGATCGAGCCTACTTTGCTGTCTTTGATGGTCATGGAGGGATCGAGGCAGCTAATTATGCAGCCACCCATTTGCATGTCAACCTGGCACATCACAAGGAGCTTCTGGAAAATCCAGCAGAAGCTTTGAGAGATTCCTTCCAGAAGACAGATGAGATGTTCCTATCAAGGGCCAGGAGAGAGGTAAGTGGGTGGAACGAAGGGAGGGACCAAATGCTGGTAGAATGTTAGCAAAAGAGGACGTGTAAAAGTTAGGGAGCGAGTTTGGAGAAATATATTCTCCTGACAAGTGACTTTTCTGTACCGACTTTTAAGTTGGTTGGGATGCAACTAACCCAAACAAAGATTAGTTCACAGAGTTGGTTTTAGACTAAGAATCTGTAATCTGAAGAAATGGAAAATGGAATTGAGATGAACATCAGTCAGGGTCTGAGCTGAAGTTCTTAACTTTTTTGCACCATGGACCCCTACAAGCGTGTGCTGAAACCTTCTCAGAAAAATGTGTTTAAATGCCCAAAATAAAATACATTGATATAGACTTTATTACCAAGGACACCAATTCTGCTCAAATACGGTTATCGAAATATTAAAAACAATTCCAATGATTTAGAGCAGTGTTCCTCAACCTTGTCAGCTTAAGATCCAGCCAGGCTGGCTGGGGAATTCTGGGAGTTGGTCCACACATCTTAAAGTTGACAAGGTTGAGGAACACTGGTTTAGAGAGTGAAAATTATTGAGGTTAATGAGAATTTTGGAGTCTAGAGGCCATCCATTACTTTATGGCCTATGCTCATGATTGAACAAAAAGCTACAGTTAGAGGTTAGTGAAAATAAAGTTGTAATTGTTTCCCACCCAAGTCTACAGATGCCCTGAAATCCATGCAGGGATTCCGAAAACTAAGAATCCTGGTCTAAGTCTTTGCAAATAGAGAACTATTTCTGATCAGAGTTTGGCTGATCCCATTTTCCTTACGGGGCTGGGTTAGAAACTGGGGTCCCAAGTTAGTATAATACATAGTAAGGGGACCAGCTGCTTAAAAACAACTTGCTACGACGGGGTAACTTAAATCAGAGTTATTTAAATCTCCAAGGGGCAAAATTGTGCTTAAATCAGGTTTTCATTTGTGTAAGTCATCTTTTTCATAATCAAATAGCCATATGAAAAATAATGCAAGTTTGCAACTTTTATAGGGGATTAGAATACAATTGGCCGTTGTTACCCTCAGCGACGTATCTGCAGTTGCAATAGAAAAATCAGAGATCTGCAGTAAAGTTTCATATATTGATGGATCTGGCGTGGCCTTTGTGTATTTTATCTACGAACATAATGGCAGTTGTGGTTTTGGGCCTGCATAGAATATGTTTCTCCCATTGTGTCTTTATTAGTGATCGCAGATCTGTGGTTGCTCGGCTGAAGTGGAATTTGTACGAGTAACAAAGATCACTTTGTTTCCTTGCTTTTTTTATTTTTTTAAATGCTCGGTTTCGGGTACCAATTTGCATGTGGTTTGCACAGTTTTAAAACCAGAAACTCAGTAGGAAAACTGCTTTAAGTGGAAAGGGCCTTGTGCAGACCCTGAAATGGCACCGCCAGAAAGATGTATTTTCTCATAAATATGCATAGTGTTGCAGCCTTAATTATAGAAATGGAGGGAGAAATAAAGACCTGCATGCAATAATGAACTGCATGTTATTGTCCAAAGTGTTTAATAGCTGATGAGATCTCATGGCAGGTGGTGCAAAACAGGTGGTGTAAATTCAGTGTAATCGCACATCTTTAAGAGAATATCCTTTAGCAGAATATTAATAGAATATCTGTCTTTGCAGTTGTTAATTTTCTTCATGTGTTATGTTTCATCCTTTGGGAGGAAAAAAAAAAACTTTCCCCACTTTTTCAAAATATGTCTACAGAAACTGCGCAGCGGCACGACAGGCGTGTCCTCTTTCATTGTGGAGGATAAACTACATATAGCATGGCTTGGAGACTCCCAAGTGATGCTGGTCCAACAAGGGAAGGTTATCACTCTGATGGAACCTCATAAACCAGAACGAGAGGTAACTTGCCCCATTGTTCTTCAAAATTTGTAATCTATGTTGGTTTGGGCTCACTTTAGGATAAAGACAGTAGTTTACCTATTGGGAAGATCTCCCGAATGTCTAAATAGTTTATTTCTTTCCCTAGCCTTTATTTTTTTAATTGGAGAACCCAGAATGACCTGTTGCATCAGCTGAACGTTAGAGCCACAATGTAGTGGCATTGTAGGCCTGGGGTTGGGGAAAGAGAAAATACAGGATTAGCTTCCTGAAGCTTCTCTTTCAGCAGAGACCTTGGAAAAGGAAACTGAGAGATGTTCCTCAAGAAAAGAGGTCTTTATTTTATTTTTATTTATTTAACAAATTTATATGGCCACCCAACTCACGCATAGTGACTTCAGGCGGCTTACACCTCTTTCTGCAAATGTGGTTATCTGTGGGGAAATATCTTCCTGAAGACAGAATTTAGATCTTAGGCAGAAATCATAAGATGGATTAGATTGGAAAGAAACGTTTTGTCTTTGGTGGATTCTGTCACTTCTGTCAGACGCCTGCTTAACTGCAGCCCTTTGGTGTAAGGAAAGGATCAGATAGTTGTCTCACTGATGTGCAGTCTAGACCTTCTTAGATGACCGAAAAGCAGCTGTTATAGTTGACGCTTCCTGTGAAGACAGGGTGGCTTCGAGGCTACCCTTTCTTGAATAACGTATAAATGAGTGCAGAGTGCTGGCTGGGGAATTCTGGGAGTTGTAGTCCACACATCTTCAAGTTCCCAAGGTTGAGAAACACTGCTCGAGAAACTAGAGTTAAAACGAGCCACAATTTTACTGCACTGTATGAATTCAGGAGTAGCAAGCGAAGCGCACATTTCAAAAGGGGTTGTAAAGGAGATCTTGCTTCCCTGAGCTGTAAGAGAAGGTTTCAGGAGCAGGAAAGCAAAAAGGGACACACTTTTCTTCTTTCCATTTTCCAAACCTCTCCTCTGTCCGTTGCATTGTCCACGACAAAGGCTTCAGTGTGTTTGTTTCCTTGCCTGTATAGGACGAGCGACAACGCATAGAAGCTTTAGGGGGCTGCATAACGTACATGGACTGTTGGCGTGTTAACGGCACCCTGGCGGTTTCCAGAGCTATCGGTAAGAGTGTTGTTTAAAGCTCGTCAGCCAGTAGGCATTTGCTGAACATTTTTAGCTCAGATAAGACAGCCAATGGATCAATGCAATGGGAAATCTTTCTCCAGTTGCAACTTTGCATTTCTGACCAAGCAGGGCTGATCCCAACTGTCGGCCTCCACAGTTAGAAACTTTACAAAGAACTTGCTTATATAACGATTAGAAAAACCAGTGACAGCAAACTGAAGAGTTTTTTGGGAAGAAACCTGTAAAGAACGAGAGTATTAAAAAACAAAACAGCCAGACCTATCCCAATTCCACAAGGCCACCTGTTTTTCAGATGAAGAAAGACGGTGGCATCTTTTAACCTTGGCACGTTGGCTGCCATTGAGGCACCTACGCTGAGAATTGCTCCGCACAGTGCATTGCCATAGTAACCCAAACCTGACAGTGCGCAGTAAAGAATAAAGTTCTTGCCGTTCGCTCCCGAAGCATCTGCAGTGATATTTTTAATATTTTAAATAGGCAGCCAGAAGTGTGCATTAATATCTGGGGCTGTGGCTAACAGTTCTTCCTCTTAGCTCAGACGATTAGGTATGCGAATATTCTGAAATAGGTCATTATATTCTTTGTTTTCCCATCTATATGTGGAATGTTATAGGGAGCCCTTTGCTTATTACACATATCCTTAACTGGCTCATTGTAGAAGACGTAGGGAATGGCCTTGAAGGACTGGAGGAAGAGCCTCTACCAAAGCAATGGTCAGATAAGAGGGGCTTGAGCCGAGGCCAAGAAAGTAACATGAGAACACCTCTGAAACAAGCTCTTCCCTAGTTCACACGAAGATAAAGTGAGGGAAGGAGAAGCACATTCAGACTTGCAAGATTTTGTTACTATAGATGTTACAATAAAAGTAGTCCTGACCTATATGGTGTTGGTTTCTTCATCTGGTCTTCCTTGTTGGGCTGATACTCAACCATTTCCACGCAGCACGGCCAGTGGCTGCACCTTGAATAAAGAGAAGCATTAGGCATGGTTTACCTTGTCGGAGGAAGGCCCCATATCTGTCATGTACCCCATGGCAGAGCAGAGGCAGCTCATTATAAGGGGCCCCAAGCTGTGGTTGCTGATTTTCCCCCAGAGAAGCAAACTCTGCTTCCTTCCATCACTTGAGATATGGAAAGAGGCCAGAACAAAAGCAAAACTCAGCAGAATAGTGGGAAGAATGCCTTCCCCCCCTAGTTTTAGAACTTCAGTCCCTCAAAAGTACAGCAAACACTTGGGAGTCAGGCTAAGGCAATAATGCAATGCGTGATCATTTGCCGCTGGTCCAAAGAGTTGTGGGCTGTTTGACAGAAGGAATTGGAGCTTGTGCTCCTTCAGTGAATATTTATCTCCTGCTCTCTCTCTTTTTTTAAGGGGACCTAATGCAAAAGCCTTACATCTCCGGCTGTGCAGACAGTGCATCGTTTGAGCTGACGGGGGCGGAAGATTATGTCCTCCTTGCGTGTGATGGGTTCTTCGATGCCATCCAGCCTGTTGAGGTGGTGGACCACGTTCTAGAGCACTTAATGGAAAAACAAGGAGATGGCCTTCAGACGGCGGAGAGGCTGGTGGCTGTGGCTAAACAAAGTGGCTCTACCGACAACATCACCGTCCTGGTGGTGTTTCTACGTGAGCCCAAGGACATTGTCACCGACTGCCTCAGAGACCCCAAAAGCTGCCCTGCGGATGATGGCGCAGCAGGGTCCTTGTTTAGCTTCTTCAGCCCCGGAGCAAACAACTGAAAGAGCGTCGCTCTGAAAGCCACAGCCTTTTCTAATGCCCAACGCCCAGATGTGAGCAAGTTCTTAAAAAATCTTCTCCATTGGAAGAAGAAAGGTGAGGCCTGGATTGGACGCCTGGGTTTATCACGGAAAAGAAAATCCATCCAGTTCTCCCTAACCCCAGGCCATGCCTGGGTCGTACAACTTCAGGCTACAGCTGGAGAAATGGTAGGATAGAAGGTCTAGCCTTCTGTTGAAGAAACCATTGGGAGCAGGGAAGGCAAACTTAACCTTCTCACTGGCTTGGTTTTGTACGGGGAAGGGTTGGGGTTTATATGGAAAAGGTGTCAGTCAGGCTGAAGTGATACAGCTCAAGCCGATCAGTAAAAAATAGGGTTTGGGTAAATTGGTGGTTGAAGCCCTTGCTTCTCGAGAAGTTGCGTGGTGGGCTCCCATCTCTTGTCTCGGGAGAGAGCGAAAGGTGTGCTTGAGCGAGATGCTTAAATAGCATTGGACGGAAAGGGGGCTGCGTTGGGGTCTTT